AGGAAGGAAGGAAGGAAGGAAGGAAGGAAGGAAGGAAGGAAGGAAGGAAGAAGGAAAGAAGGGAGGGAGGGAGGAAAGGAGGAAGGAAGGAGAAAAAAGTAATCTGAGTGGATGGCTTGGTACTTCTTTACCCTTGTTTTGGCACTGTCCTCCTTTCTGAGGAAGCAGCAGGCAAATAGCAGTGAGAACCTCTCCTTGCTCATGGGCCTAGACAGCCATATCACTTTATGCTCATTTACCCCTCAATAGCAGGATCATCACTGGAAACCTCGACCCCTTAAGGCTTCTCAAGGAGTTTCCAAATGTAGTTCTGGTCACAGCAGTGCACTTGGTAAGTGACAGTGATGATGGAAGTGGTCTTGGCATTCAATATTTGAATCAACCTGCATGGAGACTCCCAGCGATGGCACTCCCAGGTCAGAGACCGGAAGGAAGGCAGTCCCTACACCTAGGTTAGCAGTCAGGTAGGTTCCCTAGGGGACTAAGGCAACAGCTATTTGAGGTTCCTGAGTTAGTGACAGTCCCCTAGTATCCAGAGTGGTCACAGAAGCCCTAAGTGCCAGGGATGGAGCGGGTGGCCCTAGCTGAAGTCATTACCCAGTTTTTTTCTGGCTATCAGACTTGCAGGGGGTTGTATTCTGCTGCCTGCCACAGGATTTCAGATTCTTATATCAGTGTGGGGTTAAAGGACCACGCTTAAACACTTCCTTCTGCCCCCAGCTGTGCCACAAGTTACCCAGACAATTGGCTGGGTCTGGAAGTAGGCAAGCGGCTTATTTCTTTGAAGGGATCCACTACACCCTTACCTACACTTCTTAAAGTGTTCCCGGCTAGGCTGGCCATATAGTTTGAGGTGGACTGGCACTAGTAGCTGGAAGAAAAACAACTGGGGCTTGGGGAAGGAGAAAACCCTCCAGAAGGCTAACGGAAAGAGCCCCAAAGCCCTGAGAGATTGGCATTAGAGTACTGGAGATGCCCAACCTGGGACCCTTCACCTTTTCCCAGGCCACTGACTTAGCTCAGTCCCTCCCTGCCCGAAATCACTGGCTTGTCTCAACCAACTTATCTAGAGATCTCACAGTTAAGAAGCCAGTTAGTAACCACTTCTCTTGCTCCCCAGTGTCCCGCTGAATTAGGTACGCATCATTCCTAACTCAGTTTCTGGGAAGAGGCAATGTGGAACGTGCCCACTCTCTGAGCAGTAGGCTCCCATCAGCGTACAGCTTCAGAACGCGCACAATCCCTTTTCTTTGCAGCCATAGCTTTTTAACAAATGTTTTGTTTTAAAGCGTAAAAGTTGTGTCTGCCTATACAACGATGAACAACAGAAGCAGCACTCACTAGTAAGCAGCCAGTTCAAGGTTGTATTTTAGACTACAGTTTCAAAATGTGGGTGGAAAATGTCCAGAGTGTTCAGAGAAACGATATAAAATCCTTCTTGCATTCATCATTCTTGTATTTCGAGTTGGTATTTTCCCCAATGTGTAGCCACTGAAGCAAATATTTTTCTGATAATTCGAAGGTCAATTAAGGTAGATACCTGGGTAACAACTCAGAAAGCTGTCTATCTCTCTACCTCTCGCTGTCTCTCCTTCCCACCCTCCCTACCCACTTTCAGAGATTCCTGATTAGAGAAGAAACATTTATTGTAATTTCTAAAATATTAATTTTGACACTGTTTTTGGAGGTTTCTTGTTTTTTATGGCAGGCTCACCCCATAAGAGGGGCAAAGAGTCCTTCAATATCACAGCAACTTCAAAATCTACCTGTAAATCCAAGATAGGATTAAAATCAGCATGTGTTTGTAGAAGAAAAAATGTAACCATTTCTGAAGACCTTAATATTTTTCTACCTTAATATTTTTCTAAATTGTTCCGTGGTAGAGAGTTAAACACTGCATAGAACATATTTAGTTGCTTAACGCGGCCATCTTCAGGGTTTGTATCGATTATACCTTTCATCCTGATCTTGCCATTAATTATAATCCTTTTGTATGTTCTTTGTACACCTGAGAAGTGCATGCGTATCTTTGGCAGCCTGACAGGAGTCCTTAGGATGTAGATCTAGGATGCGCAGATGATTGTAAATGGCACGAAGGTTTAAAGGAGACACGAGAGAAGTCTGTGCCTGTTCAGGGGTCAGCACCACAATGCATGCTGGGGCTGCTGCGCTGAAACCCAGATCCGCAAATTGTCCTGGGATTCCCTTCAGCGTTCACTTGTTCGTGTACAACCTCAGCTCGAGCGAGCGTCTCTAGCTTGGACTTTATCTGAGATCGAGAAAGGTCAGCCCGTCCTCCCGGTCGAGGCCCCGCCCCGGCTATCCCGACTAGGTTGGCAGCACAGGCTCCGCCAGTTCCCGAATCCACTCGGGGAACTTGCTGTGCCCGCGCGACCACAGCCCCTGGGGTCTGCCGACGAAGCCAGAGAGCCCGCCACGCCACCAAGGGCTCCCACTGGCCAGCTTCCGGATGCCCTTGCGGAGAGGGACTCCTAGAAGAATGCTGCGGCCACTCCGCCTGGCTGTTAGTCCTACTGAGAAAGGGAAGGAGGGAGTTAGTACGTTTTGGTTTGGGGATCCTGCTCCTAAAATCTCAGTGCTTCGGGAAGCGACTAGACAGCGCAGACCTGTGCTTGGCAGCAGTGGATCATGCATCCGCGGGTCTCTTTCTTCTGCGTTGGGAAATAAGTGGATAGAGTTAGCCCTCAGACTCAGGAAACTTGTTTAAAATTTCCCACACTGGAGGCGAGCGCAAGCACGTGGGTGACACCTGAGGTTGGGGCTCCCAGCTGGTGTCCCTCGCTGTCAGCGGGCGGGGTCCAGGTGCCTGGCGTGGGAGCCAAGGAGGCCAGTTCCAGCTCAAAGATTAGAAAAACAGGTGGTACGTTGCCTGGCTAATTCAGTCTTTCGGTAAACGAAGCTCTGATAGTTGTGTGCTGAAGACTTAGCGAGGGGCGGTCACCTCTGGTTCGGGCATTGACTATATTAAAAGAGATCTCCTGGCTTAGTGGACGTCTGAGCTTCTGGGGGACCTTGGAGGGACTTGACCGCATCCTCAGTACACTCGTTTTGCCGTCCAGACTCCCAATCTCATTTTGCCCCTCTTTCCCCTAAGGCAAAATACTAAGTTCCTCTTCAAAGGCGTCCTTTGGATAAGCCTGGCCTCCGCAGACTCCTCCGTCAACCCCCACAGAGGGTGGGTTCGGGTTTCAGACCCCAGAGAGGCATTTCCACAGCCTGCGCTTCGTTTGAAGTAGAGATGGGGTGTGAAGCAAAGGCCGGCTGCACAAATCTTGTCCAGAACACAGTCAGAGCAGAAAACCCGCTGCTTAGTTTGGTGGCTGGTCTCATCCTGAGTTCTGTGCAGGTTAGTGGAAAAGGAAGTCACCAAAGGTTTCTCTCTCTCTCTCTCTCTCTCTCTCTCTCTCTCTCTCTCTCTCTCTCTCTCTCTCTCACACACACACACACACACACACACACACGCCATCACACACACCACCACACACATCATACAGTAAGGAACTTGACATTATCTCGTCTTAATGGAATCTTGCATGAGAGCCACAGGACATCTCTACCTCTCTGCTCATTTCCCGTTGACAGTGTTTCTTTAGATGGACCATGGTCCGAACCCACCCAGATTCGGGCCTTTGAGTGGCCACAGCCACAGAGGAAATGACTCCTCCTTCTGGATTATAGCCCTGTTAGCTGGTTCCAGTTTTGAAACACCTACAAAGTCTCAGTTTAGTTCTTTTTCTTTCTCTCCAAATCGTTCACGTTTTTTTCAGGTGTCGCTCAAATGTGTAATTATTCTCCACACATTGTCCTAGGAGCTTATTGCCATTGGGAGACAAGGAGATGGCAGATCTCTTATTTTTCAACGAACACTTTTAAAGGTGACTCTCACGACTCCTCTCTTCAGATAATTTATTTTTCTCAGAGGCACAAAGAGGAACAGAGGCCACGGTTCCCACTGAGCTGCTGACTTCTAAGGCTTACGAAACCTAGGATGGTGTTTGTGAGCTGCCTTGTCTTAAGGGAAACTTAGCTTTTTTTCTTCTTTTTTTCATTGCGATCTGTTGTCTTTTTTTGAGATGACCAAAAGAGAAGGCGCTTAAAACTGGAGGGTCTCTAAACTACAGTTTTTTGTTTTGGTTTTTTTTTTGTTTTTTGTTTTTTTCAGAAACAGATCTTGTAAGTTCGTTTGAGAACTCGTGGGAAATGTATACCTTTCAAGTTCACTCAGACTGTGCCCACTCTAGAAGGAATATTCAGATTTGTCTTTTGTTTCTTGAAATAAAACCCGCAGAGTTGCCCAACGGTTTAGATAACAGCGCTGTGAGACGTCTATCTGTATGTCAGTCGTTCCAGCATTCTGGCCTCAAGTATCACCTCCTTCCCCCGACAGCCCACTCTCTGCTTCCCATAGGAAACTGCCCAGTGGAGCTGCCCATCGCATCAGCCACAAACGCGAATCATTTCGAAAAAGAGGCCCTTTTTTGGAATTAAAGGCAGGTATTTATTTCATCTTGCGGTGAATTCTGCCGCAGTGGTGTCAGGGTAAAAACGTCCAGCGTCGGTCTCCCGCACCGTATCCTGCTGGCACTTGGGGCTCTGCCGTGGGCAAATCCTGGCCACCTTCTGGGTTACTGTCTCCTCCCTTCCCGGAGCCCGGGCCAGACAGCCGCCTCGGAAAGCTCCCAGCCCCGGCAAGGCCGCGTGCTGAGCGCAGACACCCTAGTCCAGGGAGCGCGAGTGGCGCACGGTACCCGGAAGGCCTCGGGGTTGGGAGCTGCGGCGGCAGCGGGGCAGCGGCGACCCCGTGCCCGGGGCTCATTAGGAGCAGAGCTGCCAGGAGCGTCGTAGGACCCGAGCCGCGAGCCCAGACGCGTCGGGGGTGGCGCGGGGAGCACTCGAGTCACTCAGCCCGATTGGCCAATGAGCGCCGCGCCTTGGGGCGCGCCTGACCAATAGGAAGAAGGAAGGCTTGAGAGTGGCATTGGAGAAGGGCGGGAGAAAGGGAGCCTGGGAGCGAAGTTGAAGCTAAACCGGGTAAGCTATAAAGAAGTTACAGGGGGGCGCTTTTGGCTCCCAATTAGGAACAGTACCGGCTCCTAAGCACGACGGAGGAGGAGGACTCGGAAAGCACCTCGCCCGTCCCGAGCCCGTGTCCTCCTCCTCCTGCTACCCCCCCTCCCCCATTCATGTCCCCGGGAAGGCTGCTCAGGCGCACTCTGCGGGCTGCGGGTGACAGCAGGGAGGTTGGAGCCGAGACTCAGCCGCCGCGCAGGCATGAGCGCAGTTAGGGGGCGGGAGCCTCGGGAGCCTCCGCGGCGCGCAAGGACGTAGGGTAAGTGAAGCTCGAGGCGCCAAGAGGGCCAAGAGCGATGCCCGCAAGGGGCTGTCGCGCGTGCCACCTGTTAACCCTGCTCGGCAGTGGCCGGAGTATGACTGCGGGGGTCCCCCGGGGCTTGTGCGTAAGCCGCACTGCTCGAGGAACGCCTCAGACGTGAGCCCCGCGCGGGAGAGGCGGCCCGGGGTGGCGGGCAGTGGAGGAATTCTGCACGGCGGAATCCCGCTTCGGCGGCCCGGGAGCTGGGCTTGGGGCGCGCGGCCGGCCGAGGGCTCTGCAGACGTGCATTTAGCCGTCGGGGCTACGTCCGGGACACCGCAAGCGTGACTTGCGGGCGGTCTCCAGGTCTTAAATATCCTGGGTAGCGACAAGCAGAGCGTGGGCGCAGAGGCCCTTTGGGGACGTTTTGAGGAATTGCAGTGGGTGTGAGTCTAGCCAAGCCAAAGATCTTTTATGCTCTGGTGTTCTTGTTTTCGTAGTGATCTGAAAGAAGTTAGTTACCTGGGATTCCTGTTCTCCACAAAACGCCTCCGAACTGTCTCCAGCGCCAAAGGGAACGAAAAGCAAACGTCGGATATTATTATGTCGATTTTCCAAGGACAGGGGTTCTCACCACAGAACCAATGAAAAGGCTGCCTCTTCAGGAGTCCTGCCAGCATTTTCTACATAGAGCTCCGTAGGATTGCCGGGATTTGCTGTGGACCAGCAACTTTCTTATACTTACATCTCACGACTTCAAGAAGGTATTTTGTTTGCTGCACTGTCCAGTTCCTGCCATCATTCCGGTCTCCCTGAGCAGAGTTTAGCCTCTTCATCCAAGTTATGTGAGTGTGATTGCTAATTGAAAGATAACTTTTGGTTTTGGATGAGTCTGTGGAGTTTACGTTGTAAGAAGAAAGGGAGCCCGAGACACGATGAAAGAAAAGTCTAAAAATGCTGCCCGGACGAGGAGGGAGAAAGAAAACAGTGAATTTTATGAACTGGCTAAATTACTGCCTTTACCCTCAGCCATCACCTCGCAGCTGGACAAAGCATCCATAATCAGACTCACGACCAGCTATCTCAAAATGAGAGTGGTTTTCCCAGAAGGTAAGCGGCTGTGCCTAGATTGAATTTCAAAGAAGGGGTAAGCCTACCTAGCCAGCACAGAAATGTCCTAGTGTTCGCCTTCGCGGGTTGTATTCTCTACAAAGGGAAACTTAACCAAGCTATTTGAAGAGTCAGCGCCAAACGCCTCGTCTCGCCCTTTTCAGTCCCTGTCTACCTCCCCATACGTTTCTCTCCACCCCACCCGATATGTTTGGTTGGGAAGAAGCCCAATAGCGCTTTTGTCAACACTTCAGATACTTGGCTCAGTTGAAAGCACTGTTAATCCAAACATGACTTTCCTTTTTATTCCTCTTATCAGAAATACGTGCAGTAGAAAGCAAGAGTACTGCCCATTTGCTTTTTTCTTTCCTTTCCTTCCTTCCTTCCTTCCTTCCTTTCTTTCTTTCTTTCTTTCTTTCTTTCTTTCTTTCTTTCTTTCTTTCTTTTCTAGGTATAGATTAGCTCTATATACATGGAGCTAGGTGAGCCAGATAATAATTTCTCAAAAGGACCACAATTCTGCAAGAAGCGGGGCTTGTACACGGACAGAATGTCCTGACTCTATCAGTCTCTTGGCTGTGTATAGTAAATTGGTTCTGAGTATTTAACGTGTTTACCAAACTGGAGCTCAGAATACCCAAGATTCAAAAAAAGCAGATTCAAGAAATGCAGAAATGTATCCTCAGTGTTGGGCTAGCAAAAGAATCCAAACAAAGTCTTGCACAGCCTAGAAGTTAGAATAACAGAGCATTAGGTATGATTTCAAATTGAAATTTCAGTGACCAAGATTCATTGTGAGAAGGCAAAGCAGCCTTCACAGAACATGATCATGTGTGAAATCATCTCTACTTACTAGGAAAAGGTAATACTCACTGGGGAAGGGACATTTAATCTCCCATTTGCCCGTCTTTACTCACATCCAAATAACAAATAGAATAGAAAAATATTTTTGTTAGGGGAGGAAGTTTTGAGAATGTAAAAGACTGATTACTAGACAAACAAAACTTCTAGAGAAAGATCCGTGTTTATTTACAAATGAGAACTTTTTGACATGTTTGTTGGTTTTAGGTGTTTGCCGGGTGTTGTTTTTGATGAAGGAGTAGTTATTGCTAGGAGATGAAGTTCACTTCACTTGATCTTTGTTTAAAAGCTTGCAGAAACACTGGGAATTAGTCAGGGCCACCACACAACCTTCTGAGTAGTTGGTTTCCACCCCCAACCCTATTAGTGGTGTTATATAGTTGATTCTTTGAATATCTCTTTTCACTCTGAAATCCAGGGAGGAGAGAAATCACAGGTTAGAATACCTAGAAAGTTTTTGGGTTTATTTTTCAAGAAGAACGGAGAAAGGACATATACACTAAAAAAATGACATTTCACATCCCAATTGTGCTGAGCTGCGATGGGAAAATCACCATTGTGCCACACAGCCTTCTGCCTAAAAAAGAGATCTCTTTGTCTTTTATACTGTCAGCGCCTACTTTATAAAAATAAAGCTATTTCAAACTCGGCTGGCTGCACTGTTCCTAACAGGATTATTAGCAGTGATTTGTCAGCTACTGTGGTCTCAGTGGGCTCCCTTTCTGCGTGATTTCTAGTGGGTCTCGTCAATTATCGGTGCCGATGTCGCTGGCTGTTTGATCAGAAGCAGCATATGGTGCTGCTTGTGGGGCAGCGAATAACCGCGGGAGAAGAATAGAGGGCCGACTTCCCCAGCAGTCACTCAACAGAACCCGGGAACCCACAGGCCAGAGACCTTATTCTGCTTGGTGCAGACCGTGGTGGTAGCTCAGAGAGGACCCGGCTGGTTATTTTTTGTTTTATTTTTGTATTTTAAAAGAGGGAGCTTTCTTCTGATGGTTCTAACGCTTAAAATTAAAAATTGCATTATAAAGAAATAGAAGGACCCAAAGTAAATTCTCGTTATTTTTAACAGAGCGCCAGGAAAGATTTCCCATTGAGGTCCTCTCGGTGGCCAGGCCCCTTGGCTACTTTAACCTACAATTGTGCTTTCTACAGCCCCCTCTTCCTGAACCCGGCCCCTCCCACCTCCCCTCTCTTCTACTACGGGTGAGTGTGAGTTTATGAGGAGGAGGGGATGGACGATGTGTGAACTCTGGTCACATCATTTATTTCTCCAGCTTCTGTGGAGTTCATAACTCACCCGCAGCCTCCACCCGATGAGTTAGCCAGGATCATCAGAACAGCTGGCACCAAGGGATGAGGTTTTAATTTTGAGGTTGCTTGAGCTTCAAAAACCCCAAAGCGAAATACAGCCCCTTAAGGTAGTAAAGAAAACAACAAGAACAAACAATTAAAAAACTCAGCTGTTTTCAAAGAAGCAAAATAGCGACAAGCCGCAGAACCAGGCACTACCTGCAGGGGGTGCCAAATTTGAGATTGGCCTTTCCTTAGGGTTCAATCTAAGCATTGGGGAAACTGAACACTTTATATCGCTCTAATCTTTTTAGTGGTGCTAAATAGAATTTGAAGTTACTTTAAACATCTTGAAGCGTTCCTGCTACACAGTAGGTCTTCAATAAAGTTTTATTTTAAGAATAAGAATGGTTATTTTATGGTGAATATCCTATCACATTTAGCATGGGTTTTTATAGGTTGTCTAATCTCAAATGATTTCAAATCTGATGGCATGGCTACAGGCATAACAACGTCGTAAAACTTGTATTTCCATATCACCTTTCACTTATAGTACTGTGTAATGTACGAAGGTTATATTACGGTAAGCTAAGAAACAAAATATGTTCCACACTCATCTGAAAAAAAGAGAGGTGGGGGGATAGAGAAAACAGGTCATTTCCTGTACATTTACCCCCTCATCAGTATAGTAGCCTTTGTCTGGGTCCATGTTTCAGCATTGATTTGTTTACTCTGAGTGGGTCACACTGAACAGTTGAGTGCGAAATGAGGGAGTGAGGAGGAGGTAATGATGCAGGAATCACTAAGCATTAGCATTAAACTGGGCATGGTGGTGCACACCTGTAATCCGGAAGAGAGGTGGAGGTGAAGGTAGAAAAAGAGGAAGAAGGAGGAGAAACAAGCACTGGATCAGCATTAGAGATTTAATAAGAAAAAAGGAAGATCAAAGAAGGGTCCTGGGAGAGCACTGAAAGTGAATATCTTCTGACTAATCACATTTCATTCTAAAACAGTCTCAAAAAAGAGAAATTGAGGAATGTAGACATGTATAAATCCTTGGTGTTATCAAATACAGAAAGATGGTATTAAGGTATTAAAACAAGGGGCTAGAGAGAGGGCTCTGTGGTTAAGAGCACTGGCTGCTCTTCCAAAGGACCCGGGTTCAATTCTCAGCACCCACGTGGCAGCTCACAACTGTCTGTAACTCCAAGGTCTGACACCTTCATATAGACATACATGCAGGCAAAACACCAGTGCACATAAAATAAAAATAAATATTAGAAAGGCATTAAAATAACAACAACATGATTTTATTTATATGCAAAACAGGACAAAATCAGCTCTAAAAGAAGTACATATTTGTTACCCAGCCCTAAAGTAATTTTGGTCAGGGGCATAGTGTCATGCAGAATAAACTGAAAAATCAGATATGGTTTCAAATCTCTGTTTATAATCTTGGTAATATCGCTACAATTCATTGTCAATATGTTCATAAAAAAATATAAATAATCAGAGTTGAAATTACTAAATGCATAGGGACAAAATTCCCAAGACCTACAATATTCCTCAAAAAATCCTGAAATCTTAAATCATTGTATTTTTGAGTCAAAAAACTAAAGAATAAAAAGATCCCAGTTTCTCACGTGGATCTATGATTTAAGGCTGTTTTTCTTGCTGCTCAGGGAAGTGATTGAGCATTGGGTTTCCATGTTTATTTTCTTACACAAGTTTTTCTCATTTAAAGCCCCTTTAAGCACAGTTTACGCTCAAGTCTGACTTTCTCTGCTTAATTCTACTTTTAATGTTGTTTTAAGTGAGTGCAGAATTAAACTGTGTGCAAGGCAGATTTATGACTAGAACTTGTAGATTTGATCAACAAAAAAATAATTTTTAAGGGAAATTAAAAACGACCAACGCCTTAAGCAATGGTGGGATGCTTTCAAACCAGACGCAACCATCCATCTAAAAGCTATATTCTTAAATATATAAGGATAGATTTTATTTTGGGGGAGGGGGTTCAGTTCTGGGAAATCTTGGCAGCTTTGAATTTTTACAGTCAGATGCAAGCTTCGAATGCAAACTCCTGGATTCTTGAGGTATTCCCTTGTCAGTCAGTATTTCTGAAGAAAGGGAGATCAGCAGTAACGACATCGATGGTTTGTTCGGGTGGGGCACATATTGCCAGTATCTTGGACTGCCAATTGTTTAGGATCAGTCCTGCTATTCAGAAGGTGCTGACGGAATGGGAAGAGTAGAGCAAACTTCTTTCGCAGTTTTGAAATGCTGACAGATTTGACACTGGTGGTTCTGTTCAGACCCCTGGTCGCTTTTTATCCGAGACCCTACTGCGCTTTTTCCACTGCAGAAAGCGCGCAGCCCACTAGGTCCGCGTAGTATATATTTTGTGGCATCTCCCCTTTTAGTCTGGGCACAGTTTCCAAACCAACCGGGTCTTACTTAGGTCCACAGAGAAGTCTCTACCCCTACCTTTGGGACAGGCTTTGCTAGACACCAGAGTGTGACACACCCTTTGTTCTGCCCAGCCGCTGATGCCAGCCCTGAAAGTGGTTAAAAGCTCGGGGGAGATTGGATCCTGCCCCGTTCGCGGATGGGCTGGATCGGTAGGGTGCGGAGCCACCCCGCTACGGAGGCGAGGGTCTTTGTACGGAGGTGACATTGCCAAGCCCCGGGCATTTCCGAAGACTTCAGCCCTGGACCATTGCGCTGGACACCTCCAGCCTACTTGCAGGACACTGGTCTCGGGTTTTAAGCCAGACCTGGGGAAACCCTGCTGCCCCCAAGTTCTTGTAGTGTTCAGTGACGCGCAGCGGGTGCGGTCCAAGTTACTCAGCCTGGTTGGCAGCCTCTGTTCCTCCACCGGAAGCGTGAACTCCGGGGCGGGATGAAGCATAAGAAACGCGACTCGTGAGTGACCTGCGGCCTTGGGCTGCGAACCACACACACACACACACACACACACACACACACACACACACACACACACACACACAGCACCGTGGCTCTGGTCCGGGAGAGGCGAGCACTCCAGGGAGGGCACCCGCTGTGGGTCCGCGCAGCCGGACGGGACAGGCCTCGCCGAGGTGGGTCTCCTCAGCCTCCCAGAGCCCACTCTCCCGCAGTGGCCAGGGTCGATTCCTAGTGGAGACACTGGTGCGCTCTGGCGTTGGATGAAGTGCTTTGCCCTGGGACTGCCCCCAGGAGCTGGTTCTGCCCGGAGCGCCCATTCGGCAACCCTCTCTTCCCCCAGAGAGCTCCGCAGCCCAAGGGCGCCGAGCCAGAACCCGGGGTGAAAGCCGGGGCAGTCTTTCAGCCAGGGCGCCCTAGTCCCGCAGGGAAGAAGACGTAGATTTGGGGGTTTGGCTTTCTTTGTCACACACTCCTCCCAAGTAGCACCTACCAGCCTCTGGGGACCTGAAGTTAGGAGGAATATGCAAGAACTCACCCCGGTCCCCAGTGGTAGACGGGTCATGGGACACCTCCCTCTTGCCTCAAAGGCATTCTAGGCAGTGTGTGTGTGTGTGTGTGTGTGTGTGTGTGTGTGTGTGTGTGTGTACATTTCTATGGAGTTGCCCTGTTGATGACGGAGGAAAGAAAGAAGGGGCCACTACAACAAGCTCTTCTCTTTCAGGCTAGCAAAGGCGGTAATGGTGCCTGGCCTGTAATCTGTATTTTGTCAAGGGCATGAAATTCATTCGAAGGAAAAGCCCGATCAATTTATTTTTGCTGCTTGCAATAACACAGCTGGATGATGCTTTGAGCGCGCGCTAGACTGGGGCTCATCATTCATTCACCAAGAACGGGCCTAAATGGTGCCTGTGGGATTAGGTCAATTTTAGTGGATCTACTTCGCCTCATTTGGTTACTAATTGGTTTCTTGTTTTATAAATCGAAATCTCATTTTCAGGAAATTACAAAACCCGCGCAGTCAGTCCATTGAGGTAATCCTTGGGTCAGGGGGTATTTAAATGGAAATGGCTCAACCGCGCACCAAGGGTAAAGCAACAGTCTAACTTGCTCGGGTTTTCACATGAAATGTGAGCTAGCCCTTTAGATTCATAATAGAAACATCCCTTCTAATGCTACTTATGTAAATACGATAAACCAGACTTTAAGGGAAGAGAGAGGACTGAGAGAAGCAAAATTTATCTGCTGAGGTTACTGTGGCATATCTTGGAAATCTTCCAAAATAGATTATGTTTTCCTTTGTCTTCAGCCACTTTAGCTGGGGAAAATCCTTTTGTCTGAAACCTGATTTAGTTATCGCCTCCCTCACAGAGCGCCTTTTCTCCTTTGCAAAACCCTGTTCCCTCAGCCTCACCGAGTTACAAGGGAATCTTTAGATCTTGTTCTCACTGTAATCCCGCCGCAAAGAGAGCTGGTTCCTCCTCATTTTAAACAGACAATCAAAGGATTTGCGAATTTTCTGCGGTAGGTCAAGTGCAGAAACGAAATCTCAGCTACCCCCTTCCAACTGAAACCTGGTGCTGGGGAGCTTCACCGAAGAAAGAGGTGAGAGGGTCCATGACAGCACTTTAAGACTTCGGGGATTGGGAACCTGGAAGTAGTTGGAGGAAGTGTCCTCCACACTTTGGAGGGTGAGCTCCTGCCTTGGTGAGATCCCCTGGTAGATCAGGGCAGTCAGTTCTTCATAAAACATTAACCCAGCCTCTACCGTGTGACAGGTTTGCTCTGCCGACAAAAAGCGAACGCAGCCTCTGTGAAACCAACTTTCCTCCCAGGTGTGCGCGTCGGGGGAGCGCAGAGGGGGAGGGACTCTGTTAGCTCGCACCCGCACCCGCACCCGCTCGGGCTGATTATTAACCTGTGGGCAAGTCTTATTTTCCCTTGTAGGCGCATGCTAATGAGGGCACAACCCGACAGAGCAAAACAGGCGCCAAGAGTTCTGAGGCAAGATCTTTTTACACGCCCCCGACAACCCCGCGACCCCACCTGGTGATTTTTTTTTTCAGGTCTTTAGAGTACCAGGCGGTTCCAGGCGACCCTCAAATTTTTCCATTAAAGACGTTTGTTTGCCGAAAACGCAGGTTTTGCTAGCTTGTGGGGCTGCGAGAGAGCTGGTCTCAGACACCCGCAGCCTCAGCCCACTAGAGGACCGGCGGGAATGTCCTGCCCCCTGATCCCACGAAGCTTCTGGTTTCCAGGGGTTTTCGGGGCCCAAGGTCGACGCCGCCCAAGTCCTCGGTACTCCGAGCAAGGAAGGACTTTTCTCTTTTCCTTAGCGTGGCCAACTCCTTTAAGTGCGCAAAACTCCAGAGAAGGAGAGGGGAGGGGGAGGCAAACCGAAGGGGTTTGTATGGGTGACTGTGACCAGGCCCTTCCGTACTGGTCCACGAGGATGACTGGGACTAGGATCACGGAGTCACCCGGGGAGGGAATCTGAGACGTGCTGGAGCGTCAGGAAGGATCACGCTGCGCTATTAACGGAGGGAGGCGGTCGCAGGAGTGGAGCCGCAGTATTTGCAGAGCAGTGCGGAAATCGTTAGATTTATTTAGGTGTGCAAACACCCAGAAAGACCCCATTTGAGCCTGAGGGGCGCTTACCGTTACTCGTTGTCAGGGTTTTGATCACTTGCTTAGGAAGCAGGTCCTAGCTAATGCCTTCAAAAAAGTCTAACCGGATGTTTTATTGTGAAAAACTCTTCCCCTTTCTATACTACAATTCGAGCGTGTTTGTCACGGTGTACGTTTCAAAGTATTTGTCACTAACGAAATAGATCACCTTAAAAAAGAAAACGGTTAAATCTTGTTAGTGATGTGAAAACGAAAGGATTTAACTATTGAAATAATTTTATCAGCAACATTTAAAAGACACCCATAAATAGTTGAACATGCCTATGCACTTTTTTTGGTTATTTTTATTTCATTCTTGATACAGGTAGTAGACCATATTGATTTATATTTATATTAAAATGGGGATTCTTACATGAATATTTCTTAAAGCATATTCAGAAAAAGTTTGTGCCAAAGGCTTGAAAGGTTAACGTGCTAAAACTAAGGGAAGGAGCTGCCTGTCTTTGTTAATTGAATGGAAACCGATTCTAAGTCCAGAATAGAGAGAAAATCGTGTCCAACATCTGGCACCTCAGAGTAACTGACTCCAAAAAAATCGCTGGTGGTTTTTTGGGGCCGCGCACGCTCGCGCGGTGGGGACGGGGTAATGGGGTGCCGAGGATGAGGCAGAGGGAAGCTGGAAATCAACCAAAATTAGGGCTTTCTCCAAGAATATTCAGGTCAGGCTGAAGGAAACCAGCGTCCAGAAAGCCCGGCAGCCAATCAGAAAGGCCACCTGGGACTGAGCCTATGTGGTCTGTGGCCTCTGGTTTCTTTGGGTGGCAGTTGCATTGGCAAAGTGTGAAGGCTCTCTCGGGCTGCTTATCAGGAGGACGATGAAAACTTGGGACGAAAAATACTCTTCCCACCAGGAACAGGAACAGGAAGCCACTCCGAAGATAGCACTGAGACTGTCCAGGGCTGAGGCCGCTAGAACTCCTGCAGGACAGAAGCTGCAAGCTGACCCAGTCTCCCACCCCCGGCGCATCGGATCCCAAATGGGGCGAATGTAACCCGCCCTGCTCCGGATCCCGGAGTGAGAGAAACGTATTCGCACTCTAGCCCCCGACTGCCAGCAGGGCCATGGTTCTTGTGCTGAAGGTTGTGTGTCTCCACAGGGCTTGGCGAGGCGTGGGGCCACACCAGTCGAACCAGCCCCTTGGACAACGTTGGTCGAGAACTCGGCTCTCATCTACTCCAGGTACAGGCACAAGATTCCCGATCGCCTGGGCACCACCCGGGCTTTTGTTTTCTCAGGGGGGAAAAAAAGGGAAAGGGAGATCACAACATCTCTCCTTAAATCTGAGTTCTTAATCTAGCTGGGTGAGGATGGGCCAGTGCTGCCTGGGAGGCTGAAGGGGAGACCCTAAGGTTGCAAATCAGCCTGCCAAGGCCCCAGCAGGGCTCCGTCCAAGGGAGGGGATTCCGTTTGTCGCTTTTCGGCTAAGGAAACTGAAATGTGCTGCGCCAGGCCTGGGAGGCAGGACTGAAGAAGCATCTGAAATGAAGAATTTGCAAAGGAAATAACCGGAATCTGCTGTAAATGCCCTCGGTGCTTTAAGCTGGCGCATTCCGGATCCAGCTGCGTCTGCAACTCATTTCGTCTCTTCCCGGCAGTTGCCAGGCATACTCCTTTTGCCAGTGCCCCTCACTTCAGGCTAGCCCAAGCTCTGTACAAATCCAGCAACACCACACATATGCATCCCCAATGATGAGTTTAAACAATGTGAGGTGGCCATCACCTTGTTATTTGCAGTGCAGAGGGTTTTTAACTGCCTGTTGGCGGCTTAAGTCGCAGAGCAAATATTTTAAATAATAATGCTCCCAGTGGCATTTTTCAGTGTGACACTTGTCCCCCACCCTGCACCCTCTATTGTTATTCAGGTCCACTGGGGTCTCCTAGAGTGGTAGCCTGGAACCTGAGAAGCCTAGTGAAGCAGCCAGCAATGGCTGAGTCCTTCACTTCCCTTCACCGTCCTAGAGACCAAATAGGTTTTAGTTTTCCTAACAAAAGGACTTGGGTATTTCCCCACTGATCTGGCCTCCACTTTGAATTCATCTAGAAAAGCCCATAGCTCCCTTCACTGAAACATCCTACCTCAGTACCAGCTCTCTCATGCCATCTCTCCTTGTCCCTATATATTTTTTTCCTAGCAATATGAGCAGGAAAACAAAACCCGAACAGCTTTTCCCTTTATACTTTTCTTGGGTTTCTTTCCACTCTTCACTAGGCTTCTGACAGTTCTTCTTTAACACTCTGAAGTTCAGGGGGTTCTTCACTCTCCTCTCCATTGGCTCCCACTTCCCTGCAGTCTGATTTTCCCCCCGTTGGGCCGTACACAGTCGCCACACATCTGTTATCAAGGACTTAACTGAGCACATTCAACTAACAGGCACTGGAAGATGAGTGGTATGCCACAGGAAAAGCCCTGTTTCATTCTTAGGAGTGCTTTGGTGTTTCTGGTGGTGTGGGTATTACAGAGAAACACCAGAACGGGAAAGAGGAGGCCTCCTCTCTAAATTGGAATGGGCCCAATTAGAGAGGACTTGGCGGAAAAAGCATCATTTGGGCAAAGAAGGAGGTGACCCTCGTGGCGACACTCTTCTTTCCTGTGTTTCAACAACAACAATCTCCTCCATTTGTCTTCTCTTCTGCCTGTCTCTTTTTTAAAATGCCATGCCATTGCCTGTGATGCCATTTGGAAAAGTCTTAGCTCCTTTCTCCTCTCACAGCTCCAAAGACTCCTGCAAGTCGTAAACCAGCACTTGTCTCCTGAACTGTTTAGTCCTGTAACTCCAGCTGGTATCCCAACTTTGGTGTCCTACTGCCAACTAGAAATGCAACACATTTAAGACAAGACTGCATTATCTCCCTTCTTAGACTTCTGTTTACATAACATCTGGGTTTCCAGTTGGAGAGAAGACACAGGCTCACAACAAAATCTCAATTTCTCCAAGTTTTCAGCCTTAGTTAATGGTGCTGCCTTCTGCATAATCTTCTTTCTGAAGCCAGGAAGTCAACCTTACTTTCTCTCTCTGCCACCAATTAATATAAAATTTGCATTCAGTGCCATCCTTAAATTAGACTCTCCTCTTTCCTAGATGTGAATTCAAGCCTGAAGCTATATGGGCTCCTCATCCAGACTTCTGTAGATAATTCTGCCAGGAAAAAGGAACACATAAAAACATGTTATTCTCTTGCTTAGATTCTGTTAGAATCACAATGCGTGCCAGGGCAATTGCAGGGTCCTCAAATTGACATTCCAAACTCTAAAAACCCACTGAGTATGTAATTATGTAGCCCTATCTCATACCAGCTTCGCCAGCTCTTCACACATCAGCCCAGCCCTCCCCCAGTCTCTGACTTTATCACATCATTTCTTCTGCTTGAGATGCTCTTCTCTTCAGTCCTTGCTTCTTCCTCTTCAGGGGTCTACTGAACTCAAGTTCTTCAAGGCCTCTGTAACGCATAGTTTCCGGGTCTCTTGTCTATTCAGCTCTATCTACTTCATTGTGTGGTCAACACATTCATCTTCAGGCTAGTTGTCCCTCTGAGCTCCTTAAGAGCAGTTTGGTTTATTGTAGGTCTCCACTGCCTCATTCACAGCGATGAAGGGACAGGGAAAGTCTAAGAAGTTTCTTTACAAAGAGCCGGCCAGCTTGGTGCATCAGTGTAAACATACACAAACATACAGTATCACTACCTTACAGACTGGCTGCTGAGCGAAGCCTCTCATCTCCTAAGTCCCCCTCTCCTGACTCGTTCAGAGTCTTGGCCAGCTTCCTTCTGTCTATAACCTCAAATTGCCGGTTCTCCCATGTCAACCAGTGTCTGCGTCTGCCGTACTGGATAGTTCTCAAGCCCAGCTATTACTCTCTTCACTGTTGATCACTGTCACCATGGAACCCTTCAGTATTGACACAGGTTCTTACTGGAACCACTATCCTCAGGGCCTAACCTGTTTCCTGTTCCCGTTGAAGGCTGTGATCTGACTCCCACACCCAGAACTTTTGTGTGCCACAGATCTTTTTTTCCCAATGGATCTTGAGTCTTTGTAGGGCACTAGCTTGTCTATAGCCTCACTCTGACCTGTCGCAGCCCCATCTTTCTGCACTCACTGTGTCTAACTTCTGTTCCGCTTGCTCGCTTCATTCCTTCAGATCTCTCACTCTATTTCTGCCTCCCCAGACTCTGGATGGCTTCATCTTCGTGGTGGCCCCAGATGGAAAGATCATGTACATTTCAGAGACAGCTTCGGTTCACCTGGGCCTTTCTCAGGTAGGTGAGTGGTTCATCCTTCCAGCCTGAAATGTTCACAGCTGGAATTGTGGGGAGGGCTTCCCAATCATTTTACATCTGCATTTGGGCACTGAGAGCCTCTCATGTGATGGGGGACTTAGTCACCCCCACCTGGATTTCCCACCTCCTTTAGCTTCTACTGCAGGCTTAAACAACTGCTACTTTTTAGAATTCTTACCATGAGCCAGACATAGTGGGAGGAGTTTATGTTGTTTTACAAGCCTTACAAGGGGTGTGACTGTGGACTATCATTGTTCTCACTGCTACTGATATTTATGATTATTTTACAGGTAAGGAAGCTAAGCTGAGAGTTAGATAAGATGGACCAGGTAGCAAGCAGCAGAACCTATTCCATCTTTATGGCCCTACAGATGCCCTGATGCAAGTTCTCAGCTTCTTCTGGGGGCATTGTACAACCGCAGAGATGGTGATCCCTCCTCTTTACAGGTGGAGCTGACTGGGAACAGCATCTATGAATACATCCACCCGGCTGACCACGATGAGATGACAGCGGTGCTCACTGCCCACCAGCCCTACCACTCGCACTTTGTACAGGGTAAGTTAGACAGGCCTTCAGCACCTGCTCGTGCCCGTCAGCTTGGGGGCTTCCCCCAGTTCATCTTGGCTGGGACACTGCTTCTTTTGGCTGTCTGTCTCTGGTCCTGAGCCTTCCTCCTCTTCTTTCTCACAGAATATGAGATCGAACGTTCCTTCTTTCTGAGGATGAAGTGTGTTTTGGCCAAGCGGAATGCTGGCCTCACCTGCGGTGGCTACAAGGTGTGTGGTTGAGCTGGAAAGTCCACTCTAAGGGTGGCCAGGCAGGGCTTGAGGCTTCTGGGGGTAAGGGAGGTGGGTTCCTGCCCCAGGAACCACACTTGTGAACCACATTTGTAGTGCAGCCCTGAAAGGTCATTAAACTTTGTGGGCACCTGGGGGCCATTTAAAAGACTAAGCCAGGACAATGGGCTGTTTTTAAAGAGGAGCCTTTGGAACTGTAAAGCTTTTGAACCCCCAGTCATTTGGCTCTCAGTGAGTTAAGGACCAAAGCTTTAGCTGCAAGCTGGGGTTCTCTAGTTGAATGCTAATATCATTGGAAAGCAGGATCCCTGCCCCAATTCATCTGTGGTAGGATTTGGTTTACAAAAGCCGTTTACATCTCTCTCTTCATTTTCTATTTTACAAGCTCCGTCACTCTTTTGGGGGCACCTTATGATTTGAGGCCATGTAGAATCTTAACATGTTTCAACTCCTCTGCATCCTTTAGGGAGCTCTTCCTGACCTCTGCTGAGTCTCGCCCCTCCCCCTCCCACACAGGTCATTCACTGTAGCGGCTACCTGAAGATCCGCCAGTACAGCCTGGATATGTCGCCCTTCGACGGGTGTTACCAGAATGTGGGCTTGGTGGCCGTGGGTCACTCCCTGCCTCCGAGCGCTGTCACAGAAATCAAACTGCACAGCAACATGTTCATGTTCCGAGCCAGTCTGGACATGAAGCTTATTTTCCTGGACTCCAGGTGGGTGGGCAGTCAAGAAAGGGACTCTAAAGAATGACGGTGTTTAGAGAGGGAGAACCTTCCCTTGACTTGACTAGCCCATTTTGCAGGTGGGGCATCTGACCAGGTTTTGAGAAATGGGGCCAGGAACCCAGGTAAGGGGTGATGAAAAGTCCTACATTTATCCCTAGGGGATTTTTTTCCCCAGGGTGGCGGAGCTGACTGGGTATGAACCTCAGGACTTGATTGAGAAGACCCTGTACCATCACGTGCATGGCTGCGACACCTTCCACCTACGCTGCGCACATCACTTACGTAAGGCCCCACCCTACTCTCAAGGGAATGGCAGAGCTGGAGGCCTGAAGTCCAAGCAGATTGCTGGGGGTTCTCCCTAGAGAGGTAGCGGTGGTAGTACGGGAGACTCAGAAAGGGACTGCTGCGGTGACCCAGTCTGGTATCTCAGACTTAATGGAGCTGGGAGGGGCGCTGCCCCAGTGGGGTTTCATTCTTCACCTGCAAACATCACTAAAGACGAGAACTGTTTAAACAACCTAGGCTGCTTTCCTCACGCACATAAACTCACCTTGCTTTTGATATGAGCTTAATCTCCCAGGATTGAGGATTTAGAGCTGGACTTCTCCTTATGCAGTAGAAAAAGCTAGTCTGGGAAAGTGGGAAACCATTAACTTTTAGTGTTTTCCCCATTGCTAGTGTGGAAGACAGCGGGCCCCAGGAGGGACCATACCAACCATTAGCATATAATGGATATCTATTAGTGGGGCTCAGGGCCTCAGTTCAGTTTAACCAGCAATCAATTGATTGGGAATTTGCCTGCCACCTCTCCCACCTGCACTGGCGCCTTTGTTACAGCATTGGGGGGCTTTGCACTCAAACCACCCGGCACTTGGACCTGTCTAGGACAGGCTGGTTCACTATCATCTGCCTCTCTTTCTAGTGTTGGTGAAGGGGCAGGTGACCACCAAGTACTACAGGTTCTTGGCGAAGCACGGCGGCTGGGTCTGGGTACAGAGTTATGCCACCATCGTTCACAACAGCCGCTCCTCGAGGCCGCACTGCATCGTCAGCGTCAACTATGTCCTCACGTGAGTGCCTGAGTGCCAGCCTGAGACAACCTTCTCCAACTGAGGGCGTGTGTTTTGTGTGCTCGGTCAGGCTCAGGTCTCCCAGGAGAGGCCTTTTGATGGGGGTCGAGGACTTTGAAGGCTCCCTTCGTCGTTTTCTAGGAAAAGATTTAGGAGTTTTCCCAATACTGTCCATATTTGCACTCTTTTCTCTCTTAACTTTTCAAAAAGAATCCTGTATTAAATAAAATTTAATGAGAGAGAGAGAGAGAGAGAGAGAGAGAGAGAGAGAGAGAGAGAGAGAGAGAGAAGGATCCGATGCACGGAGCCATTTACTATTAACAAACTGGACATCTGTTTCACTTTTTCAGATCTCGGGTTTGAAGTTCTTAATTTCAAACAGAGTCTCCAATCAAAGTTAGAATTCTGAAAGAGTGTTTTTTTTTCCCCCTTGAACCAAAAAAGGGACCTGAGTGACCAGGAGAGTCTAACGTTAGCCCCTAGAAAGCAAAGGCTGTGGGTTAGGCTACACGAATTTGTTGTTGCTAGATTGAAACATCTTCTGGATCTGCAGGGCGTGACAGACACAGCAGCTGCTGCCTTGGAATCTTGTTCTTTCCAGAAATATACCTTGCAGCCGATGACACGGTCTAGTATGTGCCTGCTGAAGGAGCATATTCTCTGCAGTGTTTGTGGAAGTCAAGTTGCTTAGGGTTGAAGTCTTTATAAAGAAATCTTTTGTGTGTTCATTTATTATTCTTTTAAGGGGTTGAAAACTTGTGATTTTAGGGGACCTTAGAAATTCTTTACTTTGAAAGTATTGACACACCAGATACTTAGCAGAAATGCTATTTTGACATTAGGAAGTTGGTTAAAAGATGCTCTTTGGAATAGAGTATAAAATACAAGATGAGGTTTGGATTCATTCCACATTGTTTTAAGTTGTCAAATAAAAAATGTAGTAGCTGGAAATATGCTTGGTAGTAACATTCAGTGTTTTGTTTAATAAGAAAATTCGGTAGATTCAGAAAATAAATTTGAGTAAGGATTGCTTGATTAAAAATAATAGGTGGTTATTAAGAATATTTTAATTGCTCACTTTTTAGTAAACCATATTAAAAGAAAGATTCGATTTTTGTAATAGCAAGGAGGTAGTGTATTTTAATACAAAGTAAAAACATACCACATACCATTATTTTGGGTATCATGCAACAGTCCATCTATCTAATGGGCACGGTCTTTCATATTATTAAAAATAGACATGAGAAATTGGCAAGGCATAATTCATAAAATAAACCCATGAAGTAGAAGCATTAAAGAGTGAAAAATTATGTCTGCTTACCATGGAAAAGAAAGGAACATTGTTAAGGAAGGTGCTTTGTGTGTCTGAGCCAAAACAAGCATTTTATATAACCTCTGTTCTCTGATGGTGCCTGTAGTTAGTAATCATTCTTTATCAAACAACAGGGTATATAGCCACACAGACCCCTACAAATGATCTGAATGAAAGCTCGACCTCCCAATGGGTAAGCTTAATTTGTTTGGAGTCATTTTGAAACATTCTGTTTTGTTTTTCCAGTGGGTAAGTGTTCTTTTCCCTTCTGCTGTCTGCACTTTTCTTTACATACTTCTTGAGAGCTGTAGAATTAGACCCTTAACTTTACATATGATTAAAAAGGAAGTGATGGTAGAAAATACATGATTTAAGGAAGGAAAAGTAGCATTTACTGAACTTTTTGTACCTCAACTGAAAACAGAATCACACACACAGAAAGAAGCATGTATGCACAGGCACACAAAATGGAAAGCTGACGTTGGTTACCCTTTTTATGAGTCTGTGCTCCAATTCTTTGTATAAAAATTCTCAGAACAATTTTTATAGCTGCAAATGTGGAAACTGCTTCAGATGAAATGTCATCAGTTGGTTCTGTGTGTGTTGACAGGATTTCCATAATGAACAGGTTGCCATTTGTTTGATGTGTATATCACACATCTGGCTGGAAGTTACTAATTTACATTGTCTTAGCAAATTAAATACATGGCTATTGATTCTCTATGGTAGTAGTGAATAACCGCATTTGTTTTGGGGCTACTTCTTCATGCAGCCAGAGAGTGGTAAGTGAATCCTTTCCAAACACATCACCTCAACAGTGCCCTTAAATACTAAGCAAGCTCCCAAATAACCTGAGAGACCAGATGTTTTCCAAATGTAAACTTTTATATATTGTACACTTTGAGGTGATTTTCATGACATGAAAGTGGAGGAAACATTTTAAGTAATCAATCATCAAACGAGAGTGTGATGTTTTGGTAGAAGCTATGTTTATAAAAAGTTTATTTTTCTAATTTTCTGATGGCAAACGTATTGTTAAAATACACTTAGGAAAAAAATCAGTAATTATTATCTAATAAAAGCACCAATGAACCTTGCTTTAATAAGTAGCTGCAATAGTGCATGTAGGGAAAGTAGGATGGTTTTAGGACAAGTGATGTTCTTTACCTTGTGCTTTACTGGCTTCAATATGAACACCGAATTTTGCAAAATCTGGAGAGAAAAATGCAAAGACACCATAGCATAAAGAATCTTAGCGTCTCTGGTGTCTGTGGTGCAATGTAAGACCTACTGTGTTTCTGTAACATCACCACCACAATAAAACAAAAACATGACTAGTTTATGATTTTCTCTAAGATATGCATAATCAAAGAGAGTTTTCTTATACAGCGAGTGCTCACAGGCTTTAAAATGTGTGCTAATGTGAGAGACACCCTGTCTTTAGTATTAAGAGGACAGATAAATTGAGAAAGTAACTAACCACAGTGACTGCTGGAGAGAGGCCTGGGAGTGTAAAATACAAAAGGAAAGCACACTGTCTGAAGACTTGAGTCTGGAACTCATATGTACTTCAGTTTAATTGGTAGTAGTAATTATTCATAGCTAGTTCAGATGGAAAACATTAGTATTTAATGCGAAGAAAATTGAAAATGTGAAACACCCAATAAACTATGAAAAGTAATTTAACAGAAAATGGAAAATACTGGTTCTCTTTATGATTATAGACATTGTATATTTTAAAATTAAGAAATACTCTTCTACTTTTAAGATAAATCAATGGAGTCCAACTATTGTTTAAAATATCAACATTTTTTTAGACCTATATGTTGAAAGAATAGTACACTGTTGACATTTCCCACATTTCTTTTACGCCCCTCTATGATTGTATGTGGTTGATTTTATGTGTATATTTCCTACAAATAATTTCAAATAAAGTTATGGATATTGTAGTTATTGCATCCTTATATGTCCTGCCTAGCTACTGTACGTGATGGCACATTTATAGTATTCTGAATTACTGCCTATAGAAGTTAGTGAAGGTATAGATTATCATTAGTTTATATGTGCCATTAAAATCAGTCTACTACTATTTATCGTGTTCATTGATGGGTGACTTTAGCAAGGCTGAGAGACAGTATTTGCAGTATTTTGTAATGGCCTCTATAGCCCTAAAGGGTATCATATTTTAAACTTGATTTTTAATAAGAATTATAGACTAATACTATTGTGATATTGTGCTTGGAAAAGAAAAGAAAAATTAGATTTTGAATGGTCTGACAGATTAATATTTTCAGCTTTTTTTTCTTCTGGTAACGAGTTTGCCTCTGCTTGTTTATTGAATTTAGAATTTAAAACACCGTTTTTAGTGAAAATCTCAAGTGGTGTTGGAGGGTGATTTATAGATCATATAGAAGGAAGTGGTTTTCTGTGTAAAGACTTCAATTTCTATGTTACTAAAAACAACAAACAGAGCCAATCCAGATTTGTGGCTATCTACTAAATATTTCCGTGATTTTGTAGAAAAGTTGGCCAATGCTGAAGGAGAAATACTTAACATCAGAGAAAAATGTGCTTCGCATTGTAATTAACACAGACCCCAAGCTTCTCATTCTTGTTTGCACATGGTTCTCAGTTAAATATTATGAGAAGCCTCATACTTTTCATAATTAAAAAGTTTTTAAAATGTTAGCATATTTGGTGAGTAGAAAACTTTATATATTCTTACTTTAACCAATGAATGTTAAAACACTCTCAAATTCATTTCTTCTTTCAGATAGGTTAATGGTGCCAAATAATTTCAGGGTTAATATTTAAATTTTTTAAATTTATTTAAGGACCAGTGATATTTCTATTGCTAATAAGATTTAAGCAATACATTTTAAAACTTGGTGAATAATATGTAATCATCAAAATCATTCCTCTTTTATGTTGCACATGATGTCAGATAAAGGAAGGCCCTGCTGACTTCCTGACCTACAGTAAATATCAAATAGTTCCCTCTTATGCCTCAGATCAGTGGAGTACTTGTGTAGATTTAATCTTTTTGATGGCTCAAAAATAGTAACCATGCACAATATATACCCATAAAATAGAGCCCATCCTTAATTGTATTTAATATCTACCACAATAATATTGAACATCAACATTATCCACAGATTATCTTTTATGTATCATAATAATTATAGAAACAGATTGAAGGCACACTGGTATTAATAGTAATTTGTAACTACCAAAATACTCTATTTAAAAAAAAGACCTAAGAAAGCATCAGAACTGTGAGGTTCAGTCTCCCTTTTATGTACACAGCACTAATATTCATTTTAATCTTGGTCTTCATAACATTTTCTATTATATCTTAATTAAAATTATTATTTTGTTTGTTTTTTCAAAACAAGGCTTCTCTGTGTAGCTCTGGCTGTCCTGGAACTTGCTCTGTAGTTGAGGCTAACTTTGAACTCAGAGATCCACCTGCCTTTGCCTCCTGAGTGCTGGGATTAAAGGTGTGAACCACACCCAGCTATCTTTTTTTTTTCCTTTGAAAAAGTCTTACTGAGCAGCCCTCAAACTACAATTCTACTTAAACTTTATGAACGCTGGAATGTAAACATGCTCCTAGTCATATTTTATTTGAATTCATCTTTTTTAAATTTGAAAATTTAGTGTTCTCTGAAGTAACAAACTCTGAACA